ACATTATATTAGTTCAGGAGCATTTCTTGGTCCTTATCTACTCTCTGAAAAATTGACCATATTGATGTGAAATTTATCAGAGATTTAAACCTCAAACTTGAACTCAATATAATATTGTCATCATCAACGTTGGTCAGAAAATGACAATACCATAATCTGACTTAAACAAAATGGACTACTCTTCTAATTTAAATATTCCCGTTGGTTCCAATTTAATTAGAGGATAAACATAATCATAATTTACTAAATATAACTGCTATGTGAATTAAATTCTCCCGTTGGTTTGAATTTAATTAGAAGATAATCAACATTAAACTTTGTTATTTTTCTTTGAGCTATTAATCATTTTCTAGGAAATAAATAATTTACTGGAAAAGGAAAAAGAAAATAGCTCAATTAGTTACTGTTCTTCGGCCCGACAGCAAAACTAGCCCAGCCTATGTTGAGCACGCGCGGCTCCCTCCTAGGCCGCAACCTGGGCCTAGGCCGAGAAAGTGGCTCGCCCGCTTGCGCCTGCCTGGACCAGCCTTCGGGCCATCGCCTTTGCGCCATTGATGGAGATCGGATGGCCACGCGCGCGTCTCGGTGGATCAAAACTGGCGACGGCGATGCTCCCCCAGAACCCTAGCTCACTCTCTTCACTTCCCTCTCTCTCTCTCTTCGGTGCCAAGACGGAGAGGCGACTGCAGAGTGGCGCCGCTGCCGGTCCCTTCGCCGGTGAGCTCGCTCACCCGAGGCTGAGCGGGCTACCGTCGAATGATCAGGGCGACGGTGCCCTTGATTCTGCATGGCTCCACTTCCCTTTCTCTCAGCGGCAGCCACCGACCGAGACCGTTCAAAGGTGGAGCCGTCGCTGGCCCTAGGAGCTGAGCGAGAGAAGGTGGTGCCGTCGCTGGCCCCCTCGCCGGCACGCGCGCTCCCCATCGAGTGATCGCGCCTCCATCGAGCGGCCTAGCCACGGCGCCCTAGCACGGCCACAGTACACCGGCGCGGAGGCCCTTCCCTGAGTGATCCGGTGAGTGGAGGCCGGCGAGGTAAGCCGCCGCCCTAGCCCTTCCCCTTTCCCCTTGATCTTCTTTGTTTGGATCTTCTTTCTTTTCTTCTCGGAGCTGGTCTGATTTAGGGTTAGGGTTAGGCTTAGGGTTAGGGTTAGGCCTACTGTTCATCTTCCCCATCTGTCTTCGTGGGTTAGGGTTAGGGTTCGAGTTGTTCTCGAAATCGAGACCCCCTTTGATGTTCTTTTCTTCACCCGATTAGGGTTAGGGTTCACATCGAACCCTTTGCTTAGATCCGAATCAGATCTCTCACCTTCTTCTAATTGCTGCTACCCCTACCAAATCTACGCCTAGAAACCTATCTCTGATACCATTGTTAAGTGCTTAGGATCATCTAGGTGTAGATTAGTGGGTGGATTCATTTCTATTTGGTTCAAATTGATCAAGTACATGACCCAGGAGAGGGAGATAGACTCGGAAGAGGGAGACATAGTAGAGACCCATACCTTCGGGCTTGGCAGAGGAGGTGGAGGGGAAGAAATCGCTATGGCAGCGGTTACGTAGTGCATGGTGGTGTAGTCCAGGTGCCGGCGATGCGGTCGACGGCGCTTGCCGTCACTTGCAGGGCTGCCCACGATCGGAGGGGCCTTCTAGGGTTACTTCGGTGGGTCAGTGGCGGCGGTAAACCTCGTCCCTTATGCTCTGACCCCCACCTTTCTCTTTATATAGCGTTGTGTGACAGGGGCCCGCCGATCAGTGGTCGGTTTAGCGTCCCCGATCAGGATGCAGTCAAGGGGTCCGATTGGCCGTTGGGCCAATTGGTGGAGATCAAACTAACAACGGAGATCTACCAATTCGACATGGCCGTGTACACCAAGATCTTCCTCAAGTTCTCAAAGAGGTTCTGGCCTGAAGGGAAAGGGAGAGAGTTCTTCCTCTACGCGAGCAGCAGGAGAGGTTACTACGGAGTGTGGCAAGTACAGAAAGCATCAATACTGTTATTATTAGCCTGTAGTTGATAGGAAGAATTAAATCGAAATATGAACGAATACTGAACATTTTGCAACAATATATGATCTACTCAGGAGTTTGAGAAGCAGTATCCTGGTGCCAACGTCCTCCTTGTCACCGTGACCGACGAGGAGTCGAGGCGTATTGAGCAACAGTCGGACAACCAGACCAAGGCAGAGATCATGCAAGTGCTGAGGAAGATGTTCCCCAGGAAGGACGTCCCGGATGCCACCGACATCCTTGTCCCGAGATGGTGGTCTGACAGGTTCTACAAGGGCACCTTCTCCAACTGGCCAATTGGTGTCAACCGCTACGAATACGACCAGCTTAGGGTATGGTATACTACAGATCTTTGATTTTGTGCTTCTCTATATGTTGCCATTATGCTCATATTTTTGAAGGCCTCATCCTTTGAATTTGAACCTCTCCTTTTTTCTGCATTCTAGGCACCGGTTGGAAGGGTATACTTCACCGGTGAGCATACCAGCGAGCACTACAATGGCTATGTCCATGGCGCTTATCTCTCAGGTAGATATATATGTATTCACATGAGGTCTTCAATTGCCTACCCTTGAGCTTGCCAAGACTAATAGCGAGTGATATAAGCTTAACTTGCACTTACGGCGTTAATTTCCATTGTATATTTGTTGACAGGTATCGACTCTGCTGAAATTCTCATCAACTGCGCCCATAAAAAGATGTGCAAGTACCATGTCCAGGGCAAGTATGACTAGAAGCTCCAACAAATTAAACGTACGCCTCCTCTTGTTGTACCACCTATGGATGGCAGCCATGTCTTGGCGTGCCTTTTCTCCTTATTGCAATAAGGCGGCAGATTTATAAAGCTTCAATGCCTGTTACCATCTATGATTTGTGGTTAAGTATTCTGCTTAAGTACCGTGTTACCATCTATCGATCTGTCAAACAAAACTTTGTACCGCGTAGTTCCAGTGGGAAGAGCACAATTTGTTGTCACCCGACACACACAGCAATCAGGCTCAATGCAAGGAAAAAACCGTCATCACATTTGTGCAAGGAGTGGTGAAACATTTTGTTCTGCTGTTCACGATTCATGATCCCCATAGTCTTTTGTGTTTCTTTTACTCTCACCCCTGCATTACAGAAGCGTCAGTTTGGATCAATCAACTCCATGGAGATTAGGGGAATGGACAGTAGATCAATCTGCACAATCACGAAAACACCTCATGATTCACCATTGGCGTACATAACCGATTACGATGTCGAGGAGTGCGCGCATACGTCAAACGAGACTTCCTTTCTGCCGATCTTGTGGACCAACTCTTGGAACCCGACTCCTCTCATGAAGGTGTTGATGACCTTGTTCTCCGGGACGTTGGGGAGCTCGTTGTGCTTGCAGGTGAAGCGCTGGATGTAGTCGTGGAGTTGTTCCTCGCGCTCGCGTTGGCAATTGCATTGGTGAGGTCCCACATGGTGCTGGGCTTGGTGTAGGCCCCCTCGAAGTTGTCGATGAGGAGCCTTTTGAGGTCGCTCAACCCTTCAATGGTGTCGCAAGGAAGATTCTCGAGTTAGATGTGGGCTAAGTCAATGAGGTGCAACGGAATGTACTGTACAGCAAAGAGGGTACCCTACGTCCAGTGGAGAATAAATTACTTATACAGTATGCTCGGTGATTTATAGGGGCACTGATGAATGTGCCTAGTGTTCCTAGCTATGAATATCGAATCTACGAGTGAGTTACCCCTACCTCTCCTTATATAGTCCGGTGTAGGGTTATAGATGAAATGTCGAATGATATATATCAACAGTTTCATAGTTTGTTACAAGGAGAATCTATCAGATCTTATTGGATCAACTTGGTCCTCAAGGCTATCTAATCGATATCTTGCTTTCCATGTACCTTATGCACCCTGTCCGGTTTGAGTCTCTTCCTTACCAGGCGGCAATGATGTTCATCCTATCACATCGATTAAGGGGTTAGATATGGTAGTTATACCTCTGTCGGATCCAATGTCAGCAGTGATGCCAGTTTAGAATATTACTGATATATGACCATGCGTTGAACTAGGGCCATAATTTTTTGGACTGGAACTCAGTAATTCGACACGGACGCGTAAGCTCTGAGGATTTTGTATCCGACGTAGACACGTGGATCCAATCTTTGTATCGGAACCGGGTATAGGACGTGGACGCATGAGCTCTGAGTAGAAGATGACTCGTATCGGACTTGGACGTAGGCACGTGAGCAGGGATAAGACTGGTACCATCGAGTAGATGATACGTTACTGCTTTTTAGCAACAGAGAAGAAATTTATTATAATGTACTTTTTTGTTATAAAAAGAAATAGTACCATCGCATGCTAGACCTAAGCCTTTCCACCTAGCCACTATATCAAGGTCTCTTGTGAAAATTTCACAGCGATGTTGGCGCCATATGAAAATTCCACTTTTTTGAGCAGATATGAAAATTCCACTTGCATCTCTTCGTTCTGTCCTAATGGATCGATTTTGGCTCTAGGGGAGCGGCATGGTTCTTATTCCCTCCTTTCCCCAATAAACCAATTTTAAAATTGTTTAAATTCAAATATCTTTAAGTTTAATCAAATTTATAGAAAAGTGCACCTTAAGATAATTAGATATGATATGAAATATATGTTCATAGTCTACTTATTTGGTGCCATAAATATTTTTTACCTTTTCGATAAATTAAGTTAAATTTAAGAAAGTTTGACTTAAGACGTACAACTCTAGAAGTTTGATTATTTGGAGATGGAGAGAGGCATTTCTTTCCATTGCAGAAGAGTGGGAAACACAAACATTGAATGCATGAAACATATAAACATGCTGAAAATAGCAAGACACCTAGCTTGATCCGCCGGCAGGCGGGGACTGCTTTTCCTTCCAGTTTGCACCACTGTCAATCAAACACAAGTGTATATATATAATCACGTCAATAATCAAGATCGAACCATAGTGACAAATAAATGGAAAATCACCACAGAATCTGTTGCTTGCTTACCTAAACGTCATGACGGTGGCGATAAGAGTGCTGAGGAGAAGGCAGATGAGCACGACATCAAGATGCTTGGTAGGGAGATTCAGTGCCGGATTCCTCACAGTCGAGGCCAGCATCAGATAGATCCCAAGAATGATGGTGAGGAAGAACAGGAGCACCACAGCCCCTGGCGCTATCTCGTCGTTGTCCTTCCCAGCAGCAGTGATGAAGTGCCTGACGACGGTCATGATCGCGCTGACGAAGCTGCTCCAGTTGAGGATCAGAGACGACAGCTCGAAGATGCTGTCCAGCTCCTTGCTCGCAGCCTTGCTCCTGTCATCGGCGCTCTGCTGCGCAGCGTCCGGCGGTGGCGGCGGCGGCTTGGGCGGCCATAGCTTCTGCTGGAGGTGGGAGGCGAAGACGACGAGCGGGAGGAAGAGGATGGCGTAGGCGTGGTCCATGTCGAACGCGATGAAGATGAGGTACGTCATGAGGAGCAGGTGCAGCGATGAGAAGTAGACCAAGGCGCTGCCCAGCTTCGCCTTCGTCTTCAGCGACAGGAGGTCGGCGCAGATGGTGAGAAAGAAGGGCGCGATCGCCATCTTGAAGGCCGTGTTGGATGATGCGTTGGCCGCGTATCCGATAAACGTGCAGACGGCGAAGCCGAGGGCCTTCTGGGAGTATTTGAGGCAGCGACCACGCTGTTCCTTATCGTCATCTGATGGGTTGACATGGACAACGCCGACCTGTTTTTATTCCAATTCGAACACCATTAGAGATCAGTTGCAGTGTTGCACTCGGTGTGGGAAAAAGTTACAATAATGAAAATAAATCTGGCTTCATCTCTTGTCACAAACCGAGTACTTGTTGACAGAGAATTAAACAAGGAATTGACTCAACAAATCAATGACTCGAGGTGCCAAGAACGAATGTATCAAAAAGTATTAGGACATAGGAGGAATAATTCAGAGACCATGCTAAGAAAAATGCAACGTGCATATGTTTTAACCTAAGTACAACATGTACGAGGTGCAATACATGAGTTGTCTCTATGATCGCAAAGTTAAGAGTTTAACACATATTTTTTTAAGGCCAGTTTGGTTGGTGCCGTAATTTGCCACGCCTGACCTTCGGCAAGCGACTGTGGCTGCCACAGAAAGTGTGGCGAGCAAAATTGAAGCCACACTTGCTAAGAAAGTATGCCACGCCATAATTGTGGTAGTGAACTAAACAACTACCTAAAAACTATGACATGATCAACACGGAGCATCTCAACCTAAATTGTATTGATAGTGTGGCATAACCAGGTATGAACAATTTCGTTTTTAGGGGAAATGGGTCAAAACTCTATATCGACCGATTAATTTGGGAAACCCGGTTAAAACCACGACACTACGTAGTAGCTAAACTAGGCCTCACGTACAGGCAGCCCCAGCATAGGAGCGAAGATGTGCCATAATCACACGTAAGAACAGCAAGCCCCAGCACAAGGATGAATTGTGGCACAATAACAAACATCGAAAGAGCACAGTAAAAAACAACACTATCATTCCAAGGCACCGTCGCAACATCACCTTCTAGTCCAGTGGCCACATGAGCTTCATGGACAATGCTTCCAAGGAGGGATATGATGCCCAAGAACGTCATCGCCGTCAAGGAGCCACAGAGGAGAACAGCTACACTACACGTGGACACCAGCATAATGGATGTAGTGCTTATTAAGCCTCCAAGGAGGGATCTCACGCCCAAGGGCATCACCGCCGTTAGCCCAGCCATGAGCTAGGATGAGTTTTCACCCACAGCCATGCAATGGTTTCACAAAAGAGACAATCTTGTGCAGCCGCCGCCATTGCACCCAACTACTTGCACTGAGCCCTCGAGTGAGGCACAACATCAATGAGCATCGTCGCCCTAAAGATCAGAAAGCCATATCCAAGGGTGGGTGGACCACTGTGTGATCACATCATGGATCCAGTTGCTGCCAACCACCATCATGCCACGACGGTGCAGACGAATCAACTCCGGCCGTGAGTCCATGATGGATGGAGATTGGAGACGAGTAGAACACCAGCCTGCTGTGACACCCGTGATTGGCGACCTTGGCTTCCAAGGACATTCACATCCTCACAGAGGGCGGCCGCCACCTGCTGGTAGATTCGGATAATCTGATGCATGCAATTGATTGGTGCCCTCAGCACCAACATGACATGGATCTACTAGCACGACGCCACATCACGCCACTAGGGTGCCAAAATGGAGAGCAAGCACAAGGGCATGCAAATCCGGACGAACCACCTAGGAGACAACCATATGTAGGCCCAACCACCGTGGACCCAGCAATGCACGCCGGTCGAGACACTGATCGGGGCTAACATGAGCTTGGTTTTGGCTAGATGGAAGAGGAGGAGAGGGTAGAGGGAGGAAGGAAGTTACAAGCAGATGTTTTTGGCATTGCTACCACTCGTCGACCGGTAGCGGCAGTCCAGAGGAGCCTGGGAAAGGTCTAGGTCATTGTCAACGAAATATGGTGGACAGTCTACCTAGGGGTATGCCCAAGGTAGTAGATTATCGGCAGACAGGTGCGCAAGCTACGAACGAGATAGTGACGCAAGACAGACACGAGGTTTTATCCATGTTCGGCCGCCGTGAGGGCGTAATACCTACGTCCTGCGTCTGATTGTATTGTTGTTTGTCAATAAGAATGTTTTTGAGAGGGGTCCCCTGCCCGCCTTATATGGTCTGGGGGACAGGGTTACAGATCTGGAAACTAATCCTAACCGGTTACAATTGTCATAGGTGGCCGGATAAGGATTCCTATTCTAACCGACCAGGATCTTGCTTGATCTCCAAGTCTGCCTTGATTCCTTGTGCGGGACTCCGAGCAGATCGGCTGGGCCGCGCGTCGTCTTCTGGCGGGCTGGACCCCCTGGTCCGGGACAGCCCAAACCTAGCCGTAAGGGTATAGGGGTTAATACCCCCACAGCTAGTCCCCAAGCACCATGTATTATGTTGCGACACGCCGTTTGATATTCTTCGGCTAACGCAATCTATCTTCATGTCATCTCCAACTGGTTGAAACATTGACCAAGCAAATATGCCAGTATTCTGGTCAGCACAGAGCCGTAGACTACGGTTACAGCCGAAGATTTCGGTTGTCCGAAGAATGCATGGTGCTCTAAAGAAAAAAGAAAAATATTTCTTTCCTGATCAAGTGTGCCCACTTGTATTTCTGAAAAGAAATATAAATGACCCCTGTACAGGAATAGTTATGGCCAACAGTCAGAGCGTAGGGGTCGAATAAAATAAGCACATTCACCGCAAGGTGATGTGTGCCCACTTAGTCCCGAGCCTGGTAGTAGATGACGTAGGCGTGTGGTGCTAGGGTCTAAAAAAGTCTTGTTAATTAGATACAGCATGCACCATCAGGTGTATCGTACCGATGTAGTCCCCGAGCTTGCTGGAATAAGAGGTATGAGCCTTGTAGCAAGGTCTAAAGGAGAAAAAATATCCCAACTGTATGCGAGTCGCCAGTCGCATGTAGTCGAGACGCGAAGTCCCCGAGCTGTGGTTGAAGAGTGGTCGAGGCAGTCCCCAAGCACAAGTCAAGGAGCGAGCGATGAAGTCCCCGAGCTATAGTCAGAGAGTGATCGAGGCAGTCCTCGAGCACAGGTCAAGGAGCGAGCGACGAAGTCCCTGAGCACAAGTCAAGGAGCGAGCGACGAAGTCCCCGAGCTATAGTCAGAGAGTGATCGAGGCAGTCCCCGAGCACAAGTCAAGGAGCGAGCGACGAAGTCCCCGAGCACAAGTCAAGGAGCGAGCGATGAAGTCCCCAAGCTATAGTCAGAGAGTGATCGATGCAGTCCCCGAGCACAGGTCGAAGAGCGAGCGACGAAGTCCCCGAACTTGCTGGTAGGCGAGGTATCAGCCTTGTAGCAAGGTCTAAGTCAGAAAAAATAAATGCCTCTCAATTGTATGCGAGTACAAATCACATGTAGCCGAGGAGCTACGGATGACCCAGCTGGACTTGTCGGCAAAAATAATTGGCGATATTAACCTATGTGGAGGTGCGACACCACCCGTACAAGGAACGCCGTTGTGGGGGTATGGCCCCCGGTATCCACAAGAGGTGGCCCAGTCCACAAGATCAAGGCGTGCATGGCGCTGCTCGGCGTGCACCGCAAGATATTGTATAGTACCAAATAGGCTACTTTATTTGTAACCCTACCCCTCCAGAGTATATAAGGAGAGGTAGGGGTCCCCTAGCGGACACAACCTACACACGATCTATCTACTACAGATCAATACAATACACCAAAGACACAGGACGTAGGGTATTACGTCGATCAGACGGCCCGAACCTGTCTAAATCGCTGTCTTTGCGCCTAGTGTCACCATCTGGTTCCTGATTACGTGCACCCCCACTGACAAATCTACCATCGTGAGATACCCCTCGGTGGACTACCGAGCATCTTTTGTCGACAGCCGTCAATAAGTCAGCTAAGAGCACCGTCATTTTCAAAGCCAACCGGCGAAGCCTGCGGTCTTGACCAGCCAGGCATCGGCGGGGCCATCTTCTTCAGCTCGATCAATGCCAGAGTCCCCGAGACCCGAGCACGATGTCAGGCCTAGCGAGTAGCAAGCGCCGTGTGCCTCGACCAGCCAATAGTGTAGGCTATAGCTGTAGAAGAAGATGTAGTTGGGTTATTGTAAACTTGGACCTTTTCAAGCAAGCTTGTAATAACGTAACTGTATATCAACATAAGCTTGTTTGTTTTGTAGAAAACGTGTTTAAGCTCAGATATCATGTTGATGTAACTAAGTTAGAACGTGTTGGCGTTCTGTTTAGTTGTATCGGTTTAGTTGACAAGTCATCCTGAAAGGTTTGTACGGCCCTGGTTTGACTTACGGTCGGAGTGCGAGGTGCGTAGCTTGTGCACACGTAGAAACACACAAGTCAAACCAGAGAGCACCTGCCGATCACCCGTAGCGTAGAGAGCGGATCCCATGCACGCGTTGGGGGGGAACCTGCTCTGAAAACCCGAGAAGGAATGGTGGTCGGTTTTAACTGGTAGAGTTAGAATAATGATAGACTTCGAAGTGACACATTAGAGTGGTCGGAGAAATCATAATAGCTTTATTGAAATAAATCAAAAGTACAAGAGGGGTACATATCTTAGTAGCTAAGCATAGAAACGCCTAAGCTTGTCGATGTGCCAGGAATTAGGTACGTCTGAGCCGTCTAGGCGAGCTAACCTGTAAGACATAGGGCGTGTGACCTTCTTGATCATGAAGGGTCCTTCCCATGGGGTTGCGAGTTTGTGGACACCAGCCTGATTCGTCTTCCACTTCAGGACCAGGTCCCCGACCACGAAGAACCGCTCCTTGACGTTCTTGTTGTAGTACCTGCGCAAAACAGCGAGGTATTTAGCTGTACGTACGCAAGAATCGAGCCGCTTCTCTTCTGCACTATTCACTTCTTGCTCCCGCACTTCATTGGCCTTGTCTTTGTCGAAGTTCTCTACCCGTGCTGATCTGAAGGCTATATCTGCTGGGAGCATTGCCTCAGCGCCATAAACCATAAAGTATGGTGATACGCCAGTATTGCGACTGGGCTAGGTTCTGAAACCCCAGATCACAGCTGGTAACTCTTGGAGCCATCTTCTAGGAGCTTTGTCATTCTCTCTATACATCTTCTTCTTAAGTGCACCAAGAATCATACCATTTGCCCGCTTGACCTGTCCATTAGCTCTAGGGTGTGCCACCGAGACGTATTTTACTACTATGCTCCTTTCATCGCAGAAGTCCCAAAAAGCGTTCCCGGTGAACTGAGTACCCAGATCAGTGATGATGTTGTTGGGTATGCCAAAGCGGTGGATGACCTGGTCGAGGAACACGACAGCCTTTTCTGAAGATGCCTTGACCAGGGGCATGTACTCTATCCACTTGGAGAATTTGTCGATCAGCACAAAGACGCATGTAAATTTTCTAGGGGCCGGTTTGAAAGGCCTGATCATATCCAGTCCCCAGCATGCGAAGGGCCAAAAGGCTGGTATAGTCTGAATCTCGTGTGCTGGTACGTGGATTCTCTTGGCAAAAAACTAACAACCTTCACAATGGCAGACTAGCTTCTCTGCATCGGCTACGGCTGACGGCCAATAGAACCCTGCTCGAAAAGCCTTGCCGACCAGCGTTCTCGAGGCTGCGTGGTTGCCGTAGGAGCCAGAGTGGATTTTGTCTAGGAGATGTTCACCGTCCTCCTAGGTTATACACTTCATCAAGATTTCCTCCTTCACGTTCTTGCGCCACAATTTGCCATCGACGAGCAGATACTGCTTACTGCGACGCATCAAGCATTCGTTCTCTGTCCGATCGGTGTAACCGCTACCATCTGTCAAGTACTTGATGAAAGGTACTCTCCAGTTAGGCTTCTTGGTGGTCGGAGGTGGTTTGGTGGTGTTTGACGCCGGAACCGTAGCCACCAATAGCTAGTCTGGAGGCTTGTCGACCGCGGGATCTTCTTCTTTGACGGAGGGCGTGAGCAGGTCTTGAACAAATACGCCATGTGGGACTTTAGCTCAGGATGATCCTAACTTTGACAGCGCATCTGCTTCTTGATTTTTGTCTCGGACCACATGTGTGTACTCGAT